AAAAGAAAATTCTGATTTTCAACTTGGCCAAATAGGGCTTACTACAAGCTACTATGTAGTTCAAAGCAAATAAGCTATTCTGAATTCTAATAATTACATTCTCCAAAATATGAAAACCCAATTGCCCTGCAGCTTTCAATTTTAGTTTTGAGAATTCAATTCTTTCTCCAACAATAGAGTGGGTAACCACAGAAACTTGTGGAATCTCTTTTCCTAGAAAACATGAAGAACAGGAGAGAAGCCAGTCTGTCTGGAAATTGCTTCAAAATCTCTCTATAAGCAGGATGCTGGTCTGGATTGGATGCCCCTTGAAGGATCCTTCCAGACCTACAGCACTAAAATGTTAAGAAAAATAACTAAAATAATTCTCTGTCACTTATACCATGGAAAATAAAATAAACACAATTTAACATCTCCCAACACAATCACTGGAAACAATTTTACTTGGATCTTGCCATGCATTTAGAAACCCATTTTCTTCTTAAATTGCACTAAACCATTATAAGCTATTAATTTGTCTATGAGCTCTCTTTAATAAGCTAGAATACAGACTGTACTTAACACAGTAAACAAGACTACTATTTTTTTATTACTCTTTCAATCTACCTGTTTCCATGTACCCCAAATCTATTCATTTTCCAAGGCTTTGTAAGAAATACTACTTTCCCTCAACAAATACTCCATTCAATTCTCCCATTAATAAACTTCTAATGTGTTCATTACTCACATCACATTGTACAGGTGATTCTTACATGGTGTCTCCTATTGGTATCTGACTCACGTAACAATTTTTTGTCTCCCTAACTGAACCGTAAACTCCTAGAGTAAGATCCAAGTTTTATATTCCTCATGTACTCCCCTATTATGTTAATACTAACTTCATGATAAGTGCTTTCAAGTTATCATTGGCTCACTGGTTGATTTAAAGTGGAGAGAGAGTGCAAAAGCTAGACGACACTGTACATTAAGCACCTGTATGAAGCTTTGGAAAAGGAGACACTCCAAGAAGTCAAAAATAAACCTTTTCTGATTGCTACATATTGACATGTGTCATTAGCTGGGACTCACAGCTGAAAGTTCATACACACAGGTGCTAAAGGGAAAGACCTAGAGCTAAACGCCATATTAGTTTGGCTCCCATCCTGCAAGGAATGAGGAGCTATGAAGGTGAGCCCACTCACAGGGAAAAGGAGAACATTTTAGAAAGCACAGCATACTCCACAGGTTGCAGAGCTCTGCTGGTTCTGATTTCACATAGAATCAGTTCTTCATTCTCTGACCAAGTCAGTCAGGCAGCAATAAACAGAAAAAAACATTTAAAAAATTAAAATGTATTAACGTTATTTTAAAAGCACAAGTAAAACTTGTGTTATTCTTTAAAACTTTAAAACTTGTTATTCTTTAAAATCAAAAAACCATATCTAAAATAAGACTAATGGGTATAAAAATTCAGTCATTACAGGTACACTCTACACATTTAACAGAGAGGCAGACTCTCTGCTCTTTTCTTTATATATGAAACAGGAACTTCTTGTCTCTACTATGTGGCAGGTACTGTTCTATGGCACTGGGAATACATCATTTTACCAAATTTACAATTCCAGTAACACTATGTAAAGCCTTACTTTAGTTTTGGTTTTTTTTTTTGAGACGGAGTTTCGCTCTTGTTACCCAGGCTGGAGTGCAATGGCGCGATCTCAGCTCACCGCAACCTCCGCCTCCTGGGTTCAGGCAATTCTCCAGCCTCAGCCTCCTGAGTAGCTGGGATTACAGGCACGCGCCACCATGCCCAGCTAATTTTTTGTATTTTTAATAGAGACGGGGTTTCGCCATGTTGACCAGGATAGTCTCGATCTCTTGACCTCGTGATCCACCCGCCTCGGCCTCCCAAAGTGCTGGGATTACAGGCTTGAGCCACCGCGCCCGGCCTACTTTAAAGAGGGAAATGACCTCAGGGATATTCCAAACCTCTTACTTTACAGAGAAGAAAACCAAAGCCCAGAGAGGCTGGCTATCTTGTCTCAGTTGGTTATAGTGGCTATATGGTAACATAGGCAGGAGTAGAAACCAGATTTCTTATTTCTCCTCTAGTAACAAAATTTCCTTATTCATTAAGCAATTATTCCTATATGCCTCCAGTATGCCAGAGACTATGCTAGGCACTAGGTACCAAAAATGGTTAAGATACTGACCTTGTCCTGAAAAAACACAGTCTTAAGAGCAAGACAATCACATGAGTATAATCACAGAAGTGGTAACAGAAAGAAAAACCAAACTGTATCTCTAGGACTTCCAACATTTTAAAGAAAATAAACTTCTAATAGTTTGCTTTATCCTCACAACAGCCCTAGGATTACACAGCACAGATCTTATTATTCCTGGTATATAGATGGAGAAACTGAAGTGCAAAGCGGATAAGGGAGCCTATTAAGGTAATCTCCAATGGCAGCAAAATGCCTACAAACCAGGTTTGTTTACTTCAAGTTAGACCTTTTTCCCCATTAGATGGAAAAAGCAGATGTTCTTTTCATGTCCAGTTCCCTCTAACCAAGAATACACATTTCCAAGATTATGAGCAGGACAATCTGTGGTTGTGAAAGGAAACAACTGACTTGTGAGGTGTGTCACCAGCTGAGGTTAGTTATCCAATGGGTAAGTAACCAATCAAGACATCACTATTACTAGCATTCTTCAGTGCCCATTACATACATAGAACAGATGAAAAAGGTCCTTCCCTCAGGAAGTTAATATTGTAAGGAACAGGCATATAAACATTTCAACAAAAAGTGACATAATTAAACAAACTACAACTAAAAGAACCATCACAAGCAACTGCAAATTTAAGACACTAAAAGTTTTGCAGAGCAAACCTAATGCGAGCTGCCAAGAAATATATCTTCATGGGTTAAACAGAGAACAGAAGCCTTGTATGCCTAATGGTCCATACCGAACTTCGGATTACTCAAATTAAAAGCTCTCACCAAAAATGTTCTTCACATTTAAAAACTTAAATGTCTCATTTCTATTTCCTTTTTTACAGGACCCTTTTATATTTTGTAACCTTTCCTAATCAAAGGTGATAAATTTATAATGGAAGTTTCTACCATTGTGACTTTGGCAGAAAATTAAAATTGTATGGTATCACTGCCATATTCTTCTACCCTCGGATATAAATTAAATGAAATAAAACTGATCATTTTTCTCCCACACGTTAAAATTTACATATATACACACACACACACACACTCACTCAAGAATCACTTCATAAAAACCAAAAACTAGGCTGGGCACGGTGGCTCACACCTATAATCCCAGCACTTTGGGAGGCTGAGGCGGGTGGATCACGAAGTCAAGAGGTCGAGACCATCCTGGTCAATATGGTGAAACCCCATCTCTACTAAAAATACAAAAATTAGCTGGGCATGGTGGTGCGCGCCTGTAGTCCCAGCTACTTGGGAGGCTGAAGCAGGAGAATTGCTTGAACCCAGGAGGCGGAGGTTGCAGTGAGCCGAGATCGCGCCATTGCACTCCAGCCTGGGTAACAAGAGCGAAACTCCATCTCAAAAAAAAAAAAAAAAAAAACCAAAAACTATTTTTCTTCAAGTTCAGTTTTAAACATTAATTTTACTTGTTTGATGACTTAACATCTTGTTTATACTAGTGTTTAACAAGGCCTTATAACATGACCCAACTGTTTTAAACTGTAGCACACTGGAGAATTATTAACAAAAACAGACAAAACTAAGGAAAAACAAGTATTAGTGACTTCCAGTTAGTGACAGGAAGAATTTCGTTAAGAATAGGCTAAAAAATAAGAATTATAATCATCCTTCCAAAAGAGTAATGTTTATTTATTTAAAAAATACTACTCAGTTAAAAAAAATAATAATTAAAAAGTTCTCAGGTATTGCCTGAACATACTCAAGGGATTTATACTTACAGCCAGTTACCTTCCTTTCAAATATCTGGCAAAGGTTATAGGGTGACAAGAAGCAATTTAAATGATAATTCAAAACTACCACAGTGGGCTTCATTGGAGTTACCACTAGCACATCACAAAATGATTTCATATTTTTTTAATTCCTAAGATTTAGTTCCATCACACAAACATACATTTTAATAAATAACAGCTTAAAACTTAAATTTTGAAGCATGATGACTTTTTAAGGTAGGAAGGAAATAGGGCTTTGAATATAACTAGATCCTCAAGAGAAAGACCACTGGGCCAAACCAGATCTTAAATAAAGTGAAGGAAGTAATTAAACATGCAGCAACAGTGACACCTAGTGTTAATAATTTCGAGCCAATTAGATGACCATTAAATCCTCTTACATGCTAAAGAATAACCATTCAAAGCTTCTCTTCTTCAAAAACAAACAATTCTTGTGCATTTTTATCTAAAAACTACCCAAAATCAAAATGGTTCCACAGGTTTCTTTCCAAGCATAACAAAAAAGTTGTTTTGTTAAGACAAAAACAAATTAGAGAGTAAACATAAAACTAAAGACCAAAAGTAAAAAGCACTGTTTATTTCTTGTGGTTAACATGTATAGGTACTCCTCTTAGTACCAGAGTTTAATGCAAAGGTAATCACAGACATGTTCTAATGAGAGGATCATAAACATTTAAACTTCCACTTATAAAACTAAAGATATTATGCAAGCTAGGATAACATCTACAAGTAAAGTTAGGACATTTCAGGAATACTTAAGATGCAAATTTTTTTAAAAAACTAGCTTTTGCAGGGAGAACCAAGCTGTACATTTCACCCCTTGTTACCCTGCTAAATTTGTGTTGCTTTGAAAGGTACACTTATTAAACAGTTGATATTTTTGCCCAAGAGTTTAGAACTTGGGAGCGTAGGTTAATTCATTATAGTATTTTTATAGTTTTATGCTCTAGATGAATCTATAACAGCAGGCACAATTTCAAAAGTTGTTTTTGGCCAGGACAACATTGTATTTTTTAAAAAAGTAAAGTTAGCCTTAGATGGAGCTTACCTATTTGTTTTGGAATGTTCATCCTTTCCCCTTTTAACTCCAAAAATTCTTGTGATCAAGGCACTAAAGAGAAGTGTGGATGAATTTCGCACCTAATGTACAAATGAAAATACAGTAAGAGTTAAATATTCATGGCATGAAACCGACATTTACAATGCTCAAACTAGATGATTCAAAATCATTATCTAACTGGCTACTAAAAAAAATAGGTTTGAGTTCAAAAAATAATTTTAAAAAATACTTTAATCAATTCAATGACTTAAATTGAGCTCTACAACCAAATCACATCCACACAGCACGTCCTTTTCCTATATTTCTAACATTACCATCAATGGTTTTCATTATATCTCTGCACTTAAAGCACCAAATAACACTTCTTTTTAAAAATTCATTTTTCCATATTCTTCCTAACAATGAATATCTCAGTAAAATCTCAGCTCTTTCCACTTATTTTCTGAAATCATTTACCTATGAGAAAATACTTATAAAACCTAACTTCAAAGAACCAGGTACAGTGGCGGACACCTATAATCCCAGCTACTTGGGAGGCTAAAGTCAAAGGATTGCTTGAGCAAGAAGTTTGAGACCAGCCTGGACAATATAGCGAGACCCCTCCATCAGTTTAAAAAAAAAAAAATTAAATAAATTAGCCAGGTGCCATGGCACATTCCTGTAATCCCAGGTAGTCAAGAGGCTGAGGCTGGAGGATTGCTTAAGCCCAGGAGTTTGAGCCTGCAGTAAGCTATGATTCTGCCACTGTGCCCAAGCCTGGGCAACAGAGTGAGAACGTGTCTCTAAAAACATAAAAACAAAACCCAAAAATCCTAGCTTCAAAGAATCCAGGTAATTAATATGGCCAAGAAAATAGTTAACATCCAAAACGTTGCTTATCAGCTTCACAATGCAAGTAACTTATCAAGTAATTTCAACATTGAAATTATCTGATAACTTATTAGTAAAGATAAGAGGTAGGAATTATCGTGAATAAACATAAATTATTTCTCCAAGATGATAATAATCTTTTCCATATTTTTTCCAAACCAATGTGTCCAGATTCTTTGAAAGATCCTAAAAGGGTCTTGACTGTTTTGGCCTTGCAGGGTTCCTCAATTACTCTGTCAAATCAGTGTAGAGAAGTCTATGTGCTCACTTTGCTACAGTGTGGAAGGCCCTATACCAGCATCATGGATAAGATCCAGAAACAGAAAACACATACTTACTGGTATTACAGACCTTATGCTCTAATTCAGTACGTGCCATAACCATATGGTGTGTTAAACAGCAATATAAGTAGAAATATCACTAAAAGCAACAACATAAGGTTTAGAAAACAGCTTCCTGAAAGCGCTGCCCTTAGAGCCACAAGCTCAAATGCCCACGGGAACAATGAGGACAGAGGCAGCAGAGGATTTGTCTACTGTGGTCAGTGTCAGCTGAGTTGCTGCCATGAGAAAATATAAGCCCAGTTTTGCCAGATCTTCTGCTTTTTCAAGAGAAGTCAGAAACCCTGGTTTTTATGTGAAATCTATTTTGAAATGCTGGCAGGAAATTAAAGGAAAAAAAAAAAAAAAACACCGTGAAAGCCAAATAAAACAGTGACGGGCTAATTTGTCCTACTGGCCACCAGTTTGTAACCTGTCTTCTAGAAGCCCAGAAGTGACTCAAGTCATGCATGGTAACCCTAGAAGTGAACTCTACAGATAGACTAGCGTAATCCATATCAAAACCGCAATAAAACCCCAAAACTGGACAGATCACTTATGTTCATTCAATAGCCAACAAACAGTCATGGAGGTCCCACTACGTGCCCTAATTTAATCCCCAAACAACAAATCAATCCATGATGTTACTTCATCAATATAATCTCTGCCCTCATTTAGGTCTGAATTATCTCTTACCTCATCTAGTGAAGTAGTTTCCAAAGGCTTTAGGTCTAAGATGACTTGGTAAAGACATCTGAAACCTTCACTCCTCTCAAAAATCAACACAAAAACACAAAAAGAAAAGGAAAACAGAAACACAGACTCCATCTTGCCCCAAGACATTACTTTCTGGCAAAGGCTGCCAGATGCAATAAAATTAAACCAGGAGTGCCTAGAGATGTTGAGAAATGCACACCTTAAACAACACTGTAGAGGACTATTTTACAATGTGAATGGGTATCCTCAGAAACAAAACTCCTTTGACTCAATAGGCTGCCCGCAGGAGGCACATAATGTCTTTTTTAGTAATATTAAGATGGACCAGAGGGTTCCAAAACTATCTGCCTGATCCACCCTGATACGGTCTCAATATTTGTGTTCCCCAAAATTCATCTGTTGAAATTCTAACCTCCAAAGCATTAGGTGGTGGAGGCCCTTGGGAAATGATTAAGTCAGGGGGTAGAGCTCTCACGAATGGGATTAGTGCCCTTATAAAAATGGCCCTAGTGAGTTGCCTCACCTCTTCCACCATGTGAGGACACAGCAAAAAGGTGCCATCTATGAACCAGAAAGTAGGCCTTCATCAGACACTACATGTGCCAGCATCCCGATCTTGGACTTCCTAGCCTCTAAATTGTGAGAAATAAATTTGTGGCATTTTGTTATAGCAGCCCAAAGGAACAAAGACATCTCTTATAAAGTGCCCTCATTAGGAATCAATGATGATCATTATGTTTTTCATTAGGTGTAGCAAAATCACGATATTCTATAGGCCTCCTGCATTAATCATTTACATCCTCAGAAAAAAAAAAAAAAAAAAAAAAAAAAGCTTTTCCTCCATCTGCTATTTGGTTTCCCTGTTCATCAGTTAGTAAAGAATTATTTCCACATATTCACCATTTTCAGAATAATGAGTTCATGCCATACCAACCTCTAAAAGGAGTTGAATGTTTTTTTGGTTTTAAAAATAATTTTTAAATTATTTTTTAATTGAGGTATAACTCACATATCATAAAATTTCCTATTTAAAAGGATGCCATTCATTTAAAAGGTTTTTACTATATTCACAAAATGTGAAGCTATCGCCACTAACTAGATTTCACGATATTTCCACTATCTCAAAATGAAACTCTGGATCCGCTGGTCCTCACTCCCTATTCTCCTGTGGTAGGAAAGCAGAATCTACTTTCTGTCTCTATAAACTTGCCTTTTCTGGGTACTTCATATTCATGGGGTCATGCAATATGTGGCCTTTTATGTTTTGCTTCTTTCACTTAGCATAATGTTCTCAAGGTTCCCCCATGTTGTAGCATATATGTTACTCCTTTTTTATGGCTGAATAATATCACATTGTGTATATATACCGTATTTTAAAAATCTGTTCTTCATTTGATGAATAGTTGGGCTATTTCCAATTTGGAATATTATGAATAATTTTGCTAAGAATATTCATGTACAAGTTTTTGTGTGAACATATTTTCATTTCTCATGGCTATATACCTAGAAGTGGTATTGCTTGGTCATACAGTGACTCTATGTTTAACCTTTAAAAGAACCACCAAAGTGGTAACACCATGTCATAGTCTCACTAGCAATGTATAAGGGTTCTAATTTCACCAGTTCTCCAATTTCTCCACATTTTCCCCAATACTAGTTATTGTCTGTACATTTTATTTTAGTGGGCATGGAATGGTATCTCACTGTAGCATTTCCCTAATGACTAACGATGTTAAGCATGTTTTTCTGTGCTTATTGGCCATCTGCCTATCTTTATTTGGAGAGATATATATATTCTTTGTTTTAAAATTGGGTTGTCTTTTATTATTGAGTTCTAAGAGTTCTTTATATATTCTGGGCACTCCACTCATCAGATATATAATTTGCAAATATTTTCTCCCATTCTGTGGGCTGTCTATACTTTCTTGATGGTGTCCTTTGAAAAACATTTTTTTCCTTGATGCTGGTTAATTTTTATTTAAAAAAAAAAATATATATATATATATATATAAACTTTTTTAGAGAAAGCCTCTTGTACTGTAACCCAAGATGGAGTATAGCAGTGTGATCACAGCTCACTGCAGCCTTGAACTCCTGGGCTCAAGCAATCCTCCAGCCTCAGCCTTCTGAGTAGCTGGGACTACAGGTGCACACCACTATGCCCAGCTAGATCAAAATTTTTAATTTTGATCAAGTCTATTAATTGTTTTCACTCGTTGCTTGTACTTTAAGTGTCATATCTAACTAAATGTTATCTAATCCAAGGTACAAAATTTTACCTATGTCCTCTTCTAGAAGTTTTATAGTTTTAGCTTTTACATTTAGGTTTTTAATACATTGAGTTATCTGAATATGGTATGAGATGGGGATCAAATTCATTCTTTTGCATGTGGATATACAGTTGTCCCCGTACCATTTGTTGAAGGCTACTCTTTTCGCATTGAATTGTCTTGGCAACTTTGATTATCAAATGTGGGGATTTATTTCCGTACAATCAATCCTAATTTGCTGATTTATGTGCCTATCCTTATGTCAATGCCACAATATCTTATTTACTGTTTCTTTGCAGTAAGTTTTGAAACTGGGACCTGTGGGGCGTCCAACTTTGTTCTTTTTCAAGATTGTTTTGGCTATTAAGAGTCTCTTGCATTTCCATATGTATTTTGAGATCTGAAAAAGGAAAAGCCAGAAAGGATTTAACAGAGGTTGGGCGAATCTATAGATTAATTTGGGGAATATGTCAACTTAATAACATTAAGTCTGCCAGTGATGAACACAGGCCATCTTTCCATTTATTTAGGTCTATAATTTCTTCAGAAAATGTTTTATAATTTTCAGTGAACTCTTGTACTTCCTTTGCTAAATTTATTCCTCTGTATTTTATTGTTTTTGATGCTATTACAAATTGAACTGTTTTCTTAATTTCATTTTTAGATTTTTCATTGCTAGTGTACAATTAATTTTTGTATGATGACCTTGTGCCCTGAAACCTTGCTGAACTTGTCTATTAGCTTTAATTTCATTTGTGTGGACTCCCTAGGATTTTCTATATTTAAATCACATTACCAAAAAAGAGAGATAGTTTTGCATCTTCTTTTACAAACTGGGTAACTTTTATTTTTTATTCTTTTCTAGTTAGCCTAGCTAGAACCTCCAATACAATGCTGAATAGGAGTGGCAAGTATGGATTTCCTTGTCTTGTTCCTGATTTTAGAGGGAAAGCTTTCAGCCTTTAATCATCAAGTATATTGTTAGCTATGGATTTTCTATTGATACCCTTCATCAGGTTGAGAAATTTCCCTTCAATTCTTAATTTTGCTTTTACATGAAATAGCACTAGATTTTGTCAAATGCCTCTTCTGTATCTGCATAAACAATCACATGGTTTTTGTTCTTTAGTCTAATCGCATGGCATATTACATTACAATGGTCCTCCCTCATCTGCAGTTTTGCTTTCTGTGGTTTCAGTTACCTGTGTTATGGTACGATAAGGTATTTTGAGAGAGATCATATTCACTTAAATTTTATTATGGTCTATTGTTATAATTGTTATCTCTTATAATATCTAATTTATAAATTAAACTTTATCACAAGTATGTATGTATAGGAAAAAACATAAGCTATAGGGTTTAGTACTAACGATGGTTTCAGGCATCCCCTGGGGGTCTTGGAATGGATCCTCCTCAAACTTGAGGAGGGGACTACTGTAATAGACTTTTGTATGTTGAAAAATATATACTCTGTTGTATAACTGTATAAGTTATACAGAAGAACATTTAAAATAGTTATTGAAAATGTAGAGCAAAATAACTAGCATGAAAGCCTACTTCCTACGTAAGACAGGAGAGTGCCTCCTAGGTTTCTATGTGTGGTATAAATGGCTCAAGGATATCTTTTTCAGATGTTGCTTTTTATGTTTCAGTATTTCATCCATATTTTCTGTTGCCATCCATTATAAATAAAGCTAACAAGGAAGAAGCTAAAGTAGACAAAGAACTGAGAAAGAGGTTGTGACTAACAAACTGCATCATCGACTCCTAATTCACTGAACAATAAATTCAAGTATGAATCACTGCTAGCAATCTTAATGTGAGTAATACAAAAGGTCATTAGCAGGGCTAATGTATTTTGAAAAATTCATAGTAGTAATGGCAATAAAAACATGTCCCTTTTTGGAAGGATGGATGGAAAACAGTAGGTTGGTGCAAAAGTAACTGCAGCTATTGCCATTGACAAGAAAAAAGGAGAGCGAAGACAGGAAAGAGTGAGTAGTAGTAAAGTTAAAAATGGAGAAATAATAGCTGTAATGAGTCACAAAATGATGCTGTGGTCAACAATGGACCACATACTTAATGATAGTCCCATACGATTATACCATCGTATTTTTACTGTACTTTTTCTATGTTTAGATACACAAAAATTATCACTGTGTTACAACTGCCTACATACTCAGCATGGCAGCATACTCTGTATGGTAGCATGCTGTACAGGTTTGCAGCCTAGAAATAATAGGCTGTATCATACAGCCTAGGTGTGGATACACATCTAGGTTTGTGCAAGTATACGCTATGATGTTCACCCAACAATAAAACCCCCTAGCGACAGATTTCTCAGAATGAATTCCTGTCATTAAGTAATGTGTGACTGTAATTCCAGGTAAAATCTATCCTTCTCACAAATGAAACATTTCCTGCTCCTGACCTCCTTCTCCATCAAGCGCTAAAAAATACGGTTGATAAGAACTTGGAATTCGACTGCAAACTGGCAACTGTTACCAAAGTTTTTCTCATCTATTCACTGAGTGTATAACTTTTTCTTTCTATTCTTGCATGAAAAGTTTTCATGTAGACTTGTTTAAGATACAGAAGAGGCTGGACACAGTGGCTCACACCTGTAATCCCAGCACTTTGGGAGGCGAAGGCAGATGGATCACTTGAGGTCAGGAGTTAAAGACCAGCCTGGCCAACATGGTGAAACCCTGTCTCTACTAAAAATACAAAAATTAGCCGGATGTGGTTGCGGGCACCTGTAATCCCAGCTGCTTGGGAGGCTGAGGCAGAAGTATCACTTGAACCTTGGAGAAAGATGTTGCAGTGAGCTGAGATTGCACCACTGCACTCCAGCCTGGACAACAGAGTGAGACTCTGTCACAAAAACAAAACAAAACAAAAAACCAGAATAGTTAGGTAATCAAAACTGGTTTACACAAAGTTTTCTGTCTGTGTGTACATGTATATATGTGTACATTTTTTTAATCTATGTTTAGCTTTTCTTATATAATAGAAACACTCCCTTGAAAGATATTCAAAAAGTATTAATGAACAGCCTATAATGTGCAATCACTATGTGATATGGTCATTTACACACTATACACCTTACTTTTATTAGGCAGTCAATTGCTTAGAGGCAGTCAATTTCTTAAGGATGGGATCCACATATGACACTTACTATTTTGTCCAGTGTATATGATATGAATTCATAGCAGAAAAAAATATTTTCAGAAAAACTAAATGAGATTTGGTTTCTAACTCGCCATCACTTCTTAGCCATGTGACCTTGAAAAGACAGTTAAAACTTTGGGTCACAAGCCTATCATCTGTAACCCAGGAAAACTGTGCTGGGATTTCAGGGCCTACGATTAAAGGAAGGGCCAGCCAGGTTCTAGAGTTCCTGGTGACCCTCTTCCAAAGTAGCACCACACTTCACTTATGAGCAGACAAAAGAAGAGACAGGGTTTCCACTACCCCATATAGTGCATATGAGTGAATTAGAAAACAGGTACCTCCTCTTCTAGGTCAATGAAGCCCCATGCCAAGGCATGTAGCGCAATGAATAGAGCACAGCTAGGTTTCAGCAGTACACAGCTTTTAGCCTGGTATCCTTGTGGCAACCTCATAACTATCAGACAGCCTGGAGATACTGCTGCCAACAGAGGCACAGAGTAGTCATGGCAGCACTACTTGGTCGCCCTGAGAGGATCTTTTTCCCACTCCTCTGAAACCCACTGCATGTTGTGAACCAGAGTAGCCCGGGGGAAGCAAGCTAAATATACACCAGATAAAAACATAAATCTAGCCAGGTGTGGTGGCTTATGCCTGTAATCCCAGCACTTTGGGAGGCCAAGGCAGGTGGATCACCTGAGGTCAGGAGTTTGAGACTAGGCTGGCCAACATGGTGAAACCCCGTCTCTACCAAAAATACAAAATTTAGCCAGGTGTGGTGGCAGGAGTATGCAATCCCAGCTACTTGGGAGGCTGAGGCAGGAGAATAGCTTGAGCTGGGAGGCGGAGGTTGTTGTGAGCCAAGATTGCACCATTGTGCTCCAGCCTGGACAACAAGAGTGAAACTTCATCTCAAAAAAATTAATTAATTAATAAATCTAGTACGGGTCTTAGAAAGACTCTAAGTGGCATACTCGGTGGAGTTTTCGGCAGGCTCCACTGGGAAAGCTGAGAATTGCCTGTCTTACAATGAGGATGCAGGGAAAGAAGATCAGGCCTCCCCTAGTCACTGAACATAATTAAAAGAGATGAGTGATATTTTTAAACAAAAATTGCCCAATAAATTCTCAGGTTCCACAAATTATTTTCTGTTATTTAAAGTTTTAACTAAACTGGTTGGTTTCAGCTCTGAAATATTAAATAAATATATTAAATACGATCATTTCTCACCATCTTTACTGAGCCACCACCATCTTTTGGCAGAACTATTACAATAGCTTCCTGATTGGTCTTCCTCCTTCCCTCTTGCCACCTTACAATCAAGTCTCCATGTTTATCTACATTAATCATATCCCATGACTCCCTGCTATAAATTTCTTTTATGCAGGGTTTTTCAGTAACATTGGAAGTCATTATTTCAAACCTCAGGTCTGTCCCAACTATATCCACAGAGGTTCTGGTTCATCCAGCCATTTTCAGACTCAAATGAGATGCTACATCACAGGACATGGGCTCTGGCTTCCCTAGCAGCTGCGCAAGGGTTGTGCCAACACCAGCCCAAGTTGTGGTAATGCCCCAAGAGATGAACTTTGACCAGTAAGAGACAAACATATTGGACTGTTCCAAAAGGCTGTAGTTTCACACGGTCTGGATAGAAGATGTACCATGTACAAGACAACCAGCTCAGATTTTCTGCAAGATTAAGGTAAACTTGGTAATACTGTTCATCCTTCCTTGCCTTACTTCCCTTTCTCCTTCATTCCTGCTGGTCTTGGTTAGTACCATTCAATAAAATGTTAGGACCCAGGCTTTACTTCCAGCTCTGTTTCCTAAGAAAACAGGGTCAAAACCCTAGAAGGTAGGTAAAATATACTTTCTTTGTATTCCTAAAACACTCAAACCTCTCCTCTACAATAGCACAGATTGTGGAGTCAGGCAGATAATAGTTCTGTGTCCTTAGGCAAAGTTATTTCATCTCTCTGAGCCTTGTTTTCTTCATCTGTAAAATGAGGATTATATCAGAACCTACCAAGTTAATAGAACCTACTAAGACAATCAATCAATAAAGTATGCCAAGTACATGAGAAATACTCAATAAGACAGACATTATTATGATTATGTGTTATCTATCCTTATATTTCTAGTGCTTAATATAACAACTACAATATAGTAAGTAGGTATATCTAATGCCTAAAATATTTACATATTTTCTCTGTATTTTAAAAACGTTTACTAGGTAGAAAAGTTTGAGAGAGCTGCGTGGTTTCAATACAAAAGACTGAGGAATCTGTAAAAACGAAATAAATATACACATGAATGCTTTCTGAAGCATGTTTCTTTACCACAAATTAAAATTAAGTTCATTTTACATGTATGTTTTTCCTAATTATCAGGAAAAACATGTCAAAAGGTACAGCTGCAGCCAGAGTTAGGCACAGATATATTCCTGAGACGACATGTACAAATCAAACTTTTGCAAAGCAAACCGTATTTCACAGGCACTAAGGAAAAAATCACTTAAAATCACTTCAACAGAGAATGCTTTTGTAAACTGTCTTTATAAGTGAATACTTCTTCACGCCCATTAAGTAGGTTCACTTATAATTTTTATCTTAGTTTAGACTTTTATACGGAAGAGAACCCTTAATAATATTATCAGTATTGATCATTATAGCTATGATATTTATGTCCTCTAGTAAAGCAAACAAACTGAATAGAAATGATTCCTTCATAAACATTGTTAAAAACAAAGATCCCAAGAAATAAAATTATTAGAATTATGAAATTAGAAAGAAAATAAAAGCACTTTATATATATTTATTCAGCCCTTTGTGGGGATGTGTGCGTACATGTACTATGCACATGTAAAGTCCACACATAAAAAAGAGAAAGAAAATGAATCAGAATGCTCAAATCTGTATGGTAATTTAACAGGTGACTTTTACTGTTCCTATTATGCTTTTCCTTGTTTTCAAAATTGCTGCAGTGCACATGTATTACTGTTTAGGGTCGCAAAAAATAATCTTTTCAAAAAAAATGAATCAATGATTTCTGATAGTTTCAATTATACTAAAAAGTTGGATAAATCAACAGGCTTCACTCTCTGAAAGTTCTTTAACTGAAAATGTTTCTTGGTTCATTTGGAACTGATAGCTTGAAGAAAGCAATATTGATATTTCTGGCAATCACTTTAATGATTTCCAGTATTCTTGAGGGTCAAGCCACATTCCTACCTCTCTGACTCTGCTGACAGTATAAAGGCATTGCTCCACTTCTTGTAAGTGCAAAAGGTAAACTCTGTTTCCTCAAGAGTAGTTATGCAATGCTCTTAGACAGAATTCCATAAGTGTGTATCTCTTACAGGAAGACGCACACTTTTCTAGGCAAGAGTTGGCAACCTCAAAGAATTCCTCTTCACAATGGGAGTCTGTGCCTTTGGCTTCCACTGCAAAATACTTACTTTCAATTAGAGGCTTATCATACAGGTAAGAAATGGTTTGTGTTGCTTACTAACTGGAAAGCCTGACTTTCTAGTAAATACTCCACTCTGCAGGTTATGTATTAAGATCTAGCTTCTTCTCTCCTCTCCTTTGTCAGACTTTGTACTTTAAGCCACATTTTCAAGCATCTATAAAACAAAGGTTATTCTCCTTACTCCAAAAGACACAATGATATAGGAAAACAAACTATACTGTTTCTCCAAGAAATCTAAGAAAACACATGAAAAATTACTTTCTTAAATCCAACAATTGTACTGGGTATTGCCTACTATCTTTAAAGTTTTGAATCAAAGCACTTCTGGACAGTGACTGTATTACAAAAGAAAATGTGACTCAGTATTTAACCCCTTCCATTTCAATGCTGTGCATCTGTTTTTTCAACTTTTGATAGAGTTTATTTGCAGCACTAACTCAAAACACTAATACCAGAGTCCATACATTCCAAAATATACATTTAGATACTCAGAGTTGTTTTGTTTCCAGATCAACATCATTAATCATTAGGGAAATGCAAATCAAAATCGGAATGAGATACCACTTCACACCCATTAAGATGGCTACTATAAAAAAAATAAATAACAAGTTTTGGTAAAGATGTAAAGATATTGGAATTTGTGCGTGGCTGATAGGAGTATAAAATGGTGCTGCTGCTGGGGAAGAAGTTTATTCATTCCTCAAAAAGTTAAACATGGAATTACCATGATATACCCAAAAGAACTAAAATGACCCAGATAATTTATACATCAATATTCACTGCAACATTATTCATAATAGCCAAAAAGTGAAAAAAAAAAAAACCTGAAATGTCAATGAATGAATTTGGATAAAGAAAATGTGGTAGCTCAACATTACCAATCATTAGAGAAATGCAACCAAAACCACAATGAGATACCATCACCTGCCAGTCAGAATGATGATTATTAAAAAGTCAAGAAACAACATATGCTGGTAAGGCTGTGGAGAAATAAGAATGCTTTTACACTGTTTGTGAGAATGTAAATTAGTTCAACCATTGTGGAAGATGGTGTGGTGATTCCTCAAGGACCTAGAACCAGAAATACCATTTGTCCCAACAATGCCATTACTGGATATATATCCAAAGGAATATAAATCATTCGACTGTAAAGATACATGCAATGTATATGTATTGCAGCACTATTTACAGTAGCAAACACATGGAACCAAGCCAAATGCCCATTAATGATGGACTGGATAAAGAAAATGTGGTAAGTATACATCATGGAATACTATGTAACCATAAAAAGGAATGAGATCATGTCCTTTGCAGGGACATGGTTGAGGCTGGAAGCCATCATCCTCAGCAAACTAATACAGGAACAGAAAATCAAACACCACATGTTCTCACTCATAAGTAGGAGTTGAACAGTGAAAACACACAGACACAGGGAGGGGAACAACACACACTAGGGCCTGCTAGAGGTGGGAAGGGAGGGAGAACATCAGGACAAATAGCTAATGCATGCGGGACTTAAAACCTTGATGACAGGTTGGGCGCGATGTCTCACACCTGTAATCCCAAAACTCTGGGAGGCCAAGGCAGGCGGATCACAAGGTCAGGAGTTCGAGACCAGCCTGGCTAACATAGCGAAACCCCATCTCTACTAAACATACAAAAATTAGCTGGGCATGGTGGCATGGACCTGTAGTCTCAGCTACTCAGGAGGCTGAGGCATGAGAATCACTTGAACCTGGGAGGCGGAGGTTGCAGTGAGCTGTGATCACATCACTGCACTCCAGCCTGGGTGACAGAGCAAGACTCTGTTTCAATTAAAAAAAAAAAAAAAAAAAAAAAAAGCCTAGATGACAGGTTGATGGGTGCAGTAAACCACCATGGCATGCGTTTATCTATGTAACAAACCTGCACATTCTGCACATGTATTCCAGAACTTAAAGTAAAATAAAAATTAAAAAAAGAAAATGTAGGGTGTGTGTCTGTGTGAGTGTGGTGTGTGTGCGTGCGTAGATAAACCAATACATACATACAACCACAATATGAATGAACCTTTCATATACTACATAAAAGAAGCCAATAACAAAAGGACAAATACTGTACGATTCCATTTATATGAGGTACTAGACCAGGCAAATCCACAGAGACAGAAAGTAGAATAGAGGTTACTGGGGACGAGGGAGATGAGAGATGGGAATCAGTGTTTAATGAGTACACAGCCACTGCTCCAGATGATGAAAATGTTCCAGAAATGCACAGCGTGGATAAACATCGTTGTGAATGCACATAATGCCACTACACTATGTATACTTAAAAATGGCTAAAGTGGTAAATTAAAAAGAAAGATAACTGGCTGTTTAAAGAAAAATAATAACAATGTAGTGTGGGTTTACAACACACATAAAAGTAAAATGTGTGACAATAACAGTACATAGAACGGGAGGAGAGAAACACAAGTGCACTATTATTAAGTTCTTATACTTTAAGTGACATGGTGTAATATCACTTGAGGGGAGACTGTGATAAGTTAAAAGATGCCTACTGTAAACCCTAAAGCAATCACTAAAATAAGAAAACAAAGAATGATGGCTAATAAGCCAACAAATGAGTGAAAATGGAGCCATGAAATATCAAGAATCAAAAATGTAGCTTGATCCAAAGATTTCTCCCTTACAGAAACTTCATAGTAAAGTGCAGGAAATATTTTTTATCATCCAGTGAAAGATTAGGTTACTAAAACCTACTCAGACACATAATTAAATCAATGAAAATAAATAACAACAGCACTTACTGCCCAGACCGGTGATGTAAAACCCAGAATTGCAGCCTTAGCTCCATGAGCTACATAAGGAATAATATTTTCTCCCAGGCGTGTATCTCTGAACAACGCTCTAAGGATATTTAAAGCATGAACCTAAAACAAGAAGTTCGAAATTAATTGTGGGTTGAAAACTGTGGCAAATCTAAATCTAAACATATCCAATAGCACAGCCTCAAAACAAAATATTTACAGCTAAGTGCAAAACAAACCCAAAAGCTGATTCTCTGAAACAGAAATAAAACTCTGACAAGACTAACCAAGAAGAGAGGAGAGAAAAGGCACAAATACATAATAATATGAATGCTGAAGCGGACAGGACTACAAATAAATCAAATAATACATTTAAAATAATATTAAAGCAAATAAAAAATAATAGATAATCCTAATCTTAAGCTGTAAAGAGAAGACTCTCAAATTTCTAAGTCTAGTATAGCCTATCAAAACAAGATGAGGGAAAATGACAGCATCCACTGAAGTTAACATATATACACACATTAACTGCTCCTAAGCATATACTAAATGGAAATGTACGTGTTCATCATTCAGTATGTACAAGAATGTTCTTAAAAATGCTATTTTTAATACCTCAAATTAAAAACTATCCAAATGTTCATGAACAGTGGAAACTAAGAATCAATAGATTACATACAACATGGATGAAGATCAGAAACATAATGTTGACCAAAAAAACACATCGTGTCAAAAGTATGGTTTATAACGTTTTTAAACCATTGTTTCACCAGTCTGGGCAACAAAGCAAGACCCCTATCTCTACAAAAAATAAAAATAAAAAGACTGGCTGGGCACAGTGGCACACACCTGTAGTCCCAATCACGCGGGAAGCTGAAGCAATACCATTACTTGCACCCAGGAGTTTGAAGCTACAGTGAGCCATGATTGCACTACTCCACTCCAGCCTGAGTGACAAAACAAGATCCTGTATCTAAAATAAATGTAATAATAATAATGTATGATCTCATTTAGGTAAAACTCAAAAAGCAGATAAAACTAAAACTAGAGTGTTGGAAGTTAGGCTAGTGGCTACTCTTGGAGAGAACAGTATGGACTGGAAGAGAATAAGAGGGGGCTTGCAGGTGCTACAAATGTTCTATTTCTTGATGGCTGCAAAAGTGTGTTCACTTTGTGAAACTGTACTGAGGTACACATGATTTGTACACTTGTCTGTATGTGTACTATAATTCCATCAAAAGATGCACATTTAAAAAAACAGGACAGGGACAGCATGAAAAAGAAAAACCTACAGATGGAAAAAATAATATTAAATTGAAATATCAATACAATTCATGACATTTGCAAATTCTAGAAGAAAAGATATTTATCCCAAAGGATGAAAAAATATTCAATAAAATTCAATTTCCTTAATAAGATAATGGGTAGATTAAAAATTGCAGCAAATATCAGAAACAATATAAGGATGCCTGCTATCTCTCTTTCTATACCAAACTGCACTATAGGTTCCAGGAGCAAAGTACAATAATAAAAGACTAAAAATTAGAAAGTTAAAACAAATTTAGCATTGTTTGTCAAAGATATGATTATCCCTTTAAAAAAATCCAAAAGAATTTATAGATAAGTCATTTGCTATATTACAGCAAAATTCTGGTAGGTTGATGAATATAGGCACAATAATAACCAAAAAATTAACTGCATTCTTCTGCAACAGCAACAGATAACATAATTTTTAAAAAATACCATTCATAATTGCAAAACACTAAGATATTAGAAATAAATCTCAAAAATAGTCTATAAGACTTTTACGGGCAGAGCACGGTGGCTCACACCTGTAATCCCGGCACTTTGGGAATCTGAGGCAGGCAGACCACCTGAGGTCAGGAGTTCAAAACCAGCCTGGCCAACATGGTAAAACCCCATTTTTATTAAAAACAAAAACTTAGCCGGGTATGGTAGTGCATGCCTGTAATCTCAGCTACTCAGGAGGCTGAGGCAGAAGGACTGCTTGAACCCAGGAGGCAGAGGTTGCAGTGAGCCAAGATCATGCCATTGCACTCCAGCCTGGACAATGAGAGTGAAACTAGCTCAAAAAAAAAAAAAAAAAATGACTGTGGGAATTATTTTAAAAAATAATAAATGACATTAAATGATCTGAATAAATGGTGAAATGAGCCATGCTCATTAAAGATTCAATGTTTAAAAAGATACTTTTTCCAAAATAAATCAATACATTTAAATTCCAAACAAAAATCCAGAGGGCTTTTTATTGAGTTTAACAAACTAATTCTAATCTTTTTATGGAAGAGCAATGGGACAAACACAGCCAAGGTCATTCTGAAGGGAAATCAAAAAAAGAGATTCACCTTGCCAGATATTATAACTTTTTATAAAGACACAATAATTAAAATAGTGATTTTAGGACAGGTGTGGTGGCTCACACCTGTAATCCCAGCACTTTGGGAGGCTGAGGCAGACAGATCACTTGAGGTCAGGAGTTCAAGACCAGCCTGGCCAACATGGTGAAACCCAGCCTCTACTAAAAATACAAAAATTAGCCAGATATAGTGGCACATGCCTGTAATCCCTGCTACTCTGGAGGATGAAGTGGGAGAATAGCTTGAACCCAGGAGGTGGAGGTTGCAGTGAACCGAGATCATGCCACTGCACTCCAGCCTGGGCAACAGAGCAAGGCTCCGTCTCAAAAAAATAAAAACAAAAATAAAATAGTGGTTTTGCTCCAGGCACAGATTAATAGACCAATGGAAGACAGCACAGAAACAGAACCACCTATCTATGAAAATACACAATACAGGCAGTATAAATCAAGAAGAAAAGGATGTACTATATCAGAAATGTTTCTGTATTCATTATCCAAATGGCAAACATTAAATTATTTTATTTTATACATAAACAAAGACAAATTACAGGTAATATAAAGACTTGTATATACTCCAGCCTGGGTAACAGAGCAAGATCCAGCTGTAAAAAGAAAAACAATAATAAAAATAATATGGTTTCACTTACATAAAATTAGACAAAAAACACTTTAAAACTTTTAAAAGAAAATATAAAATATCTTTCTTGGTTGAGCACAGACGCTCACGCCTGTAATCCCAGCACTTTAGGAGGTCGAGGCCAGTGGATCACCTGAGGTCAGGAGTTTGAGACTAGCCTGGCAAACATGGCGAAACCCAATCTCTACTAAAAACACAAAAATTAGCAAGTATGATGATGGAAGTCTGTAATCCCAGCTACTCAGGAGGCTGAGGCAGGAGAATCGCTTGAACCTGGAAGGCAGAGGTGCTGCGAGCTGAGATCATGCCATTGCACTCCTGCCTAGGAGACAGAGAGAGACTCTGTCTCAAAAAAAAAAAGAAAAAATTATAAAATATCTTTCTGATCTTGGGGTTTAATTTCTGAAATAAGATCTAAATGTACAACCCATAGAGGGGAAAGCTGACATATTCTATTTTATTAAAATTTAAAATTTCTACATACTAATAGAGACCACAAGCAAAGTAAAAAGAGAAACCATAAATTGGGAGAAGATACGCATAATTCAAATAATCAAAAAGAAATCAGTATCAAGAAAATATTTTTGAAACAACAACAAAAATCCAACTCCTACAAAGCAAAAATGAAGGGACAAATAACCAATATTAAAGTAAGCAAAGTCTTTCAACAGATAATTCTCAGAAGTAAACCAAAAGGCTAATAAATATATGAAAAGATGTTAAAGCTAACTAGTAATAAGAAAAATGCAAAATAAAACTAGAAAATACCATTTCACCCTAAGTAGAAAGTCAAAAACTGATAATACAAAGGTGTTGGTAAGCAATGGAAATTATTATACTCTGCTGTTAGGAATATAAATTAGTTCAACCACTTTGGGGACAACACAACAGCATCGAATTTAATGTATGTACCTTAACCCTGCAATCCTACTGCTAGGTATATAACCTGGAGAAACATTCACATGTGTAAGGAGACACACAAGAATGTTTGTTTTAGCACTGTTTGTAATAGAAGAAAACCGGAAACAGCCCAAATGTCCATTCAAAGAAGAAGGTATGAAATGAAATAGAGTAAGATCAAATACTGTTCAGAAATGAAAATGAACAGGAGGAGAACGGAGCTTTCTAATCTTAAAATATAACGCTGCTAGACAAAACCAAAGTATAAAAAGTGTGGGTAACAACATTCATGTAAAAGGAGATAAAAGTAGGACAAAAATGCTTGGGAATGAGTATCACTAATTTGGGTTGTGATAACAGCTAAAGGGGAATAAAGGGGAATGAGAGGTGGAAGAATCCACAGCATAACTAACAGTCTCTGTAATGTTTAATTTCTTAAAACTGGAATTGGTTTCAAAGATGTTTATTATTCACTATACATCTCTGTATGCTGAAATATTTCAAAGATACATAATAAAAATAATAAAGAAATGAACCATGGGAGGGGAGAAGGAAAGCATATTATATACTAAAAAGCTTAGAAGATTGATCAGAGACAAAATTTTTAAATTTCACCAATTTCATAAAAATGATCACTAAAATGCCATTAATCAACTTGGAGAGGGGCAATAATTACCCAGCACTCATTAAAACCAAGCCCCATTATTTTTAGATGTTCTTATAAAAATAGCACAGGTTCAGCATCCCAAATCCAAAAATTTGAAATCCAAAATGTTCCAAAATCCGAAACCTTTTTGAGCACCAATCAACAACATGACATTCTAAGGAAATAGTCATTGGAGCATTTTAGATTTTCAGATTAGAGATGTTGACTCATTCAGTATAATGCAAATATGCAAAAATAAAAAATAAAAAAATCTGAAATCCAAAACATTTCTGGTCCCCAGCATTTCAGAAAAAAGATACTCAACATGAACTTTTTTAAAGTGTTAGTCTAGGAAAACAGAATCAATTATATTTTTTCACATTTCACTGAAAAATGTCTTGAAATAATCATTTTTGAAAGTTAATTAACAACATTTTAGTCAATGTTTTAAAGAAATAAGACATTTCATATCTGTGGGCACTGGCCACTATGGGCCATATGACTATGTTCCATATGACTGTGGAAAAGAATCCCCATTCTTTTCCACAGTCCACATTCTGGCCCATCGGCTCCCTTTAACACCTCCCACAGGCTCTGAAATAAAATCACATGTACTTATTGTACTTGATTGTAAACTTCAGCTCTCAATCTGTTCCCTGACCTAGCATGGTCCTTTACAGTTGGATAGGAGTGTCCTACTACAGAGCTGGGCACAGTAGCTCACACCTGTTATCCTAGCACTTTGGAAAGCCAAGGCAGGGAGATTCCTGAGGTCGGGAGTTCCGAAACCAGCCTGCTGGCCAGGCTGGCTGGTCTCAGGTGATTTGCCAGGTGTAGAGGCCCACGCCTGTAATCCCAGCTACTGGGGAGGCTGAGGCATGGGAATCGCTTAAGCCCAGGAGGTCAAGGTTGCAGTGAGCCAAGATGGCACCACTGCACTCCAGCCTAGGCAACAGAGTGAGTCTCTGTCTCAAGAAAAACAACAAAAAGAGTGTACTACTATGAAGCATTAAATGAGGAAGCCCAGACTATAACGTACAAGCAGTACTTGATAGGTATTAATATTTACTCCCTAGTGGTGAAGTGGGGCTATGAGGAGCGCTTTAACGTCATACATATAGGTAGTGGCTAAAAGGAACTAAATGTTAGTAAAATATAAACATCCCAAAACTTAGATACTACATTTAAAGGAAATTTTCAAAATGTACACAGACTCAAAGAAGCACACATGAAATTCTAAAGCGCTAGCATACACATTTTCAAATTTTTAGATGCAATAATATTATAAAATATCTTATATAAGCTGGATGTTTGCACCAGACTTTAAAAATTGTTTGTTTTGATTAATACATTCAACTAAAGCAATGATTTATTTTGTGGACGATAAAGACAAAAGAAAAACTATTCAAACAAGCTTATAATGTCTGTCCAATGTTCAAGAGTTCTTTATTGCCAGCCGACACTTTTTGTTAAAAAATAAAGCAAAATTTAAAACCACTGCAGGGTTTGTGTATTTCCACGATTACCTGGGGGACTGTGCTCTGTAAGTCATCTGCAGGCCCAGCCAAAGAGATTAACTCTTTCATTGTTATTTTCAACAAATCCATTTTGCCTTTCTTTGGTTCAGATGCCAACAGTGCCTATGGAAAATGTAAAAATTACAGCGTTCTTAGTTTTCATACACTTTTTTTGCTGCTTCCCTGGATCAATCTCAAAATGCAAAATCCCCTTAATAAAAACGTGGTTATCAAAGAAAGTTAATTAAGCCATGTGGCCCTCGGCAAGTGGTTTAACATCACAGTTTAACTTACAGATTCTTTATCTCTAAATTTGGGTGAAGGTGAAATCATGTCATCTCTAAGGTCATTTCCAGTTTGTTCATTAAATTTTACAATTCTAAAAGGCTAAAAAAAAAAATGACTCTTATTGACAACTCCTTAAGAGCCCTAAGTAGATGGCAGTTCTCAGATACAGTAAACAAATCAGTTTTAGTAACAAATTCATCCAACAAGAAAATTCTCTTTACTTAAAAAACAAAAAAAATCTCTGGATTAAATTTCTTGTAAGAATGTTAAGGCTCCCTGAAGATTAAGCAGTTAGTTAATTCTTCAGAAAAGAATCATTACTTGGAGGAGTAGTCAAATCAAAGCATTTGAAACTCCATGGAACCAAAAGAAATACTACAGCCGGGCGCGGTGGCTCAAGCCTGTAATCCCAGCACTTTGGGAGGCCGAGGCGGGTGGATCACAAGGTCAAGAGATCGAGAACATCCTGGTCAACATGGTGAAACCCTGTCTCTACTAAAAATACAAAACATTAGCTGGGCATGGTGGCGCGTGCCTGTAATCCCAGCTACTCAGGAGGCTGAGGCAGGAGAATTGCCTGAACCCAGGAGGCGGAGGTTGCGGTGAGCCGAGATCGTGCCATTGCACTCCAGCCTGGGTAACAAGAGTGAAACTCCGTCTCAAAAAAAAAAAGAAATACTACAAACACCAAAGAGGCCCTATATTTGAATTTTTCAGTAGCTTCTTATTTACTTTATATCTAACACTTTGCAAATATCCAATAAACACAAAAATAGGGTATTAAACCACTTGAGAAAACAAAAAGGAATGAGGTACTAATATATATTACAACATGGATGAACTCTGGAAACATTGTGCTAAGTGAAAGAAGCCAGACACGAAAGATCACATATTGTATGATTCCATATATTTGAAATGTGCAGAATGGGCAAATCTATAGAGCTGGAAGGTAGATTAGTGCTTGCCTAGGGCGGAGTGGCAGGGGCAGAGAGAAATGGGAAGTGACTGCTAATGAGTATGAGAGGTTTCATGGGTTGAAGCTCTAACGCAAAATAATGGCTGTACAGCTCTGTGAATATACTAAAAACCACTGAATTGTACACTTTAAAGGGGTGAATATATAGTATGTAAATTATATCTCATTAAAGCTGTTTAAAAAAATCACTTTATTCACATTCTCAGACTCCCTTCTTCCATATCTACTTTTCATGTTTATAGCTACAGGCTCCCAAGAGTGAAAGTTTCAAAGTAGTCAGCTTCTTCTGAAGCATTTGAAATCTACAGAAGAGGAAAATAAAGACATACAAAAAAATAGTTTGGTTTAGAAGAAATTTCTCATAGTTTATTTATGCTCAGATAACATATTTTTTAAATGACTTCAAAAAAACTTCATGTCTATATTGAACATAATTTTTACTAAGTCTACACAAAAGGTAAACTCATAAACTATGTAGACAGTTCTTTTCCACACCCAACACTACACAGATTTCCACCAAAACAGAAATATAACTTTATTAGTAAGTCACACTAAGAGAAATAAAGACTCTCTTTAAGCAGGTATTTCTTTAAATTTAGACTTCGTTCAATTAAAATAAAGTGAAAAGCTACATGCAATTACTGAAATGTCTTCAGGGAACCCTGGCTTTTTTCTCCCAAACAGCTGGGTAAAGTTATGGCATTCTTGCCAAGGCTAGGGTAAGAAAGTGCACCTTCTAATTACTCACTACAACCAGTACTTAGTACAAGCTGGGCACCAGAGCTGAAAAAAGCACACTGCACAAATATGCAGTGAGACCTTGATGTTGTCTTAACATCTGATCACAGACAGACAAATGACATGTAAAAACCCAAGGTCAGAGTGAATTATGGGAAGGAGAATGCGCTACACTGATCTAGAATGGGTCAGATCAGATAAAAGTTGACTTATGAAGGTCACCAAAATCTGTAGAGCAGAACAACTTCAATGATCTTGTCACCAAAAAATCCTAAAGAGACTTTAGGAATTTAAGGGAGGAGTAAGAAAGAGAAGGAAAAAAACGTAGGGGCATGAAAAAAACCAGAGACTTCATTCCATTTATTTTCAGTGCTTTTATATACCACTGCATTACTGGATTTAATCTTACTATATTAAACAAAGGCCTTTCAGGATGGGGTCTGATTTAGTATTATGAAGACACTGGTTTTTATTCTTTGGGTTCATGAAGGTAATAGTCTTAATTTCTAAATAAAATATTTTCCCAGTGGGCGTGGTGGCTCACGCCTATAATCTCAGCACTTTGAGATGCCAAGGTGGGCAGATCACGAAGTCAAGAGGTTGAGACCATCCTGACCAACACAGTGAAACCCTGTTTCCACTACAAATTCAAAAAAATAGCTGGGCCTGGTGGCATGTACCTGCAGTCTCAGCTACTCGGGAGGCTGAGGCAGGAGAATTGCTTGAACCCAGGAGGAGGAGGTTACAGTGAGCCAAGATCGTGCCACTGCACTCCAGCCTGGGACACAGTGAGACTACGTCTCAAAAAAAAAATTTTTTTCCCCCTATCAACAGCCATATCTAAATGTGCTGATATGGAACAATCTTTAAGGTATACTATTAAGTGAAATCAAAGACCAAACAGTATACATAGTATGTTTTCATATATGTTGAAAAGGAAAACGGACTCGCACACACATATTCTCATATGAAGAGAGTGTCGGGAGTCAGGCTGCCTGGGCTCAAGTCTTAACTCAGTTCTTACTGTCTCTGTGGCCTTTGGCAAGTCACTTAACTTGCCTAAACCCCAGTTTCTTCATCTGGAAAACATGGATGATGATAGGGTACAGGAAAGGAGTTAATGAGGTTATGTATGTGAAATAATCACTAATAAATGTTAGCTACTATTATGATTATGATTATTGTATGGATGGATGTTTTATAGAAGAATTGAAAAGAAAATGTTAACACTGGTTGCCTACAGAGAGTATTGAAGGTCTTGAGATGAAAGGAAGACTTTTTTTTTTTTTTTAAATAAAGTGGGGTGCTGGGGCAACATGTGCATTTCCTGGAAGTGAGCAATGAATGTACCACGGTGATGTCTGCCTGCTTAATACACAGACAGAAATCTATACCACCCTCTGTTTATACTACAAGATTGACCTTTTAGAGGGTTTGTTCCAAGAACAGATCTTGTCACAGGAACATACCGTCCCCACATTAAAACAAAGCCACAAATGCTATGTTGCTGAAAAGACAGAAATGTCCTTTATGTAATATACTCACATGTCAAACAGGTTAGGATATACTAAGATCAAAAGACAAATATAAACAAACAGCTAGGGTCCCACAGATAAGTACCTGTATATAGAAAGGAATTCCAGCACTGCGCCTTGTAGCACAGAGTTTAGATGAAGGATCACTGCATTTAATTTCCTCTAAAACACTCCATAGCCACTGCTCCGGCAGCTTTTGCAGATCCCCATTTGGGCACCTAAAAGGCATATATAATCAAACATTTGGAATTAGGTATCAAAGTTAAAAGTATAAACTACTGATGTACATTTATACTGTTAGGAAATATTCTTATGTTCTTATGTTCTTATATTGAAAAGTAGGGGTGAAACTAAAAAATGTCTCACTTATACTTTTCTCCTACTTTCCTCTTTATTATGGGTCTTAAGATCTAAAAATTTCATTTCATTTCTTGCAACTGCAGTGTTTAAAGCATGTGTCTTGTGTGCAAAATAAATTTTAATACGTAGGTTTGCAACCACGCTCAAAATGTTCTGAGAAAGGTTGATCATGCTCTCACAGATATTTCATACACTACAACTCAAGACTTACAACAAAGAAGAATATAACTTTATGGTTTACTATAATTTATGTTCCATGTTTATAGGGGTTACATATATTCAAAAAAACAAATTTTAAACTGTGCTTTAGTAATCATTGTAATCTCTCTCAAAATGAGGCCTACCACAAATAAAATTTTCGACTAGACCCTCTGGGAGAATTAAAGCAATTTACCTGGGATGAGGCATAAAAAGTTTTGAGGCTATTTCAACATTACATCAATGAGCTTCTGGATTATTACATTAAGTGTTATCTTGGAGTGCTCAAGAACATTTAATTTTTAGAAAATTTTTAAATGTATGCCCTACTAGACTATATAACATTGCCCAAGAAATGCCAAATTCAGTGGTAGGTGGACACAATTATCTTAGGAAGATAGTATCTGGTATTAACAGAAATTAATATATGAAAAGGAACAGATAAAGTCTAAAGGAAAAACACCCTTTTTTAAGTTGATGAAGAAATGCTGCAGAAAGATAACCGATTTCCAATTTATAGTGAGAATTACATCTCTTAAGAACACATTTGGGATTTTTTTTCTTTATTCTAGTTTGGTGCAAAATAGGTAACTTCAGTTACTGACTAAACATTCTAAATGGCAACTCAGATTCAGCTATATGTTTCACATAGAACAAAATATATAAATGCTACTAGGCATTTTTAAAAGTTTGACATGGACCTAAAAAATATTATTTCAGCCATAAATGTTACAATTACATCTCCCTATTCCTAGCAGGCTCTGTGATTCTAAAGGTTTTAGCATGTCTTAAAATCCATCACTTCACCCCTGCCTCTTCAACACTCCTGTCCTCAGCCACCAGAACCAGCTATCAAAACTCTCAACCACTAGATTAAAAGAAATTCAGAAACCTAACAACCAAATGCAGTGTGTGAACCTTGCTTAGAACTTGATTTAAACAAATGAAATGTTAAACAGATACTATAGAGTACTGTTTTCTTTTCTTTTTTTTTTTCCTCACTTTACTCTTCTATAAAATGAAGGTTATTGAGAGGATTGAGTCTGTTCTTCTGTCTAATAAATTGTTAATGGTCATTTTCTACAATCATCTGTTATTACGAGAAAAGCAAGTATTAAAAGAGTTTCAATTGAACAGAGAGAGATGCAACAGATGAGTTTCCATTTTGACAGGACATCTCCCTACACATACAATACAATTTAATATTAATAATATGAAAAATATACAAATATAAACCCCAAAACCAGCTGAGTTCAAAAACAAGATAATCATCTGGGTAAAAATGAAAAGAAATACAAAGTAGTGGGTGTGCTGATACCAGAGACCCACAGGGTTACAGATTTAGAAGCAGTAGTGGCAGCCAAAGAATTTCAGCAGCCTCATCTCTCTTGAAAAGAAGATGAAAAAGGTCTACTGCCAGAGCTGCCTGAGGCTGTAGCAGTAGGAAAAGCCATGGGCACAGGGGGCCTCTTAATCAGGCTGACTACTAACTCAGTGACTAGATCTATGATAGCCCCAATTTCACTGTGGGGTGGGAGACCCAAAATGCCACTACGTAATCTAGTTCCTCTGACAGAAAGAGCCTAGAAAGAGATCAAGAAAGAAAACAAAAGGCTCCCATCATAGCCAGCAGGCCAAAATTCAAAATTTAGAAGTAAATTTTATATTAAGAAAGACAATAAAAAAAATCAGTAATTATAACATAGATTCACTCCACATAAACTAATTTTATGGAACAGTCTGATAAAGACCTTAAATTACTATGTTTAGGATACTGAAGCAATAAATAAAGGATAACTTCTATTTAAGGAGAGTAACTGGGCATGGTGGCTCATGTCTGTAGTCTCAGCAAGTCAGGAGGCTGAGGCAGGAGGATCACTTGAGCCCAGGAATCCAAGGCTACAGTGAGTTATGATGGCACCACTGGACTCCAGCATGGGTGACACAGACCCTGTCCCTTAAAAAATAAATGAAGAGCAAGAAATCATGAAAAACAAGCCATGCTGTAAGAACAGGCTTGTATAAAAATACAAAAGATCAGAAATATCGCAAATGAAAGTATACTTTCAGCCAAGCGTGGTGGCTCACGCCTGTAATCCCAGCCCTTTGAGAGGACAGGCAGGCAGATCACTTGAGCCCAGGAGTTTGAGACCAGCCTGGGCAACATGGTGAAACCCTGTCTCTACAAAAAAATAAAATAAAATTAGCTGGGCATGGTGGCACTTGCCTGTAATCCCAGCTACCTGGGAGGCTGAGGTGGGAGGACTACTGGAGCCCAAGAGGCAGAGGCTGCAGTGAGCCAAGATCATGCCAAGGCACTCAAGCCTGGGTGACAGAGTGAGACCCTGTCTCAAAATAAATAAATAGACAGACAGACAGACAGACAGACAGACAGACAGACAGACAGATAGATAGATAGAGATAAGATGAACTCTAAAGAATTCATGACTTAGAAGATACAGTTTTCTGGGAAATTTACCCAAAACAGAATGAAAAAAACATAAAATATATATGTGTGTGTTTATACATATGATAATTCCACATCTAGACATAGCATAGCAAAACTGTGATTAATAAAAAAACTTAAAAGCCATAAGTGAGTAAAGAAAATAGGAGATTTACAAAGGAATATATGTTATACCAAAGACAAGTTTCTCATTGGCAATAACAAAAGCACTAAAGGAAAATAACTGTCCACCAGAATTGTATACCCCATAAAAGTACGTTCAAAAGCATAGGTAAGAAAAAGACAGTCTGAGATATAGAAAGAGTAAGTCTGCCTCCCAGAGACTCTCACCAAAAGAAATTCTAAAGGATGCACTTCAACAAAGTATAAACCCACAGTAGTTTCAATGGGGTGTCTACTAGACATACCAAATTTAACATGCCCCAAACTAAACTCCTGATCTTCCTCCAAAAACCTACTCTACCCACAGTCTTGCTGATCCTAATAAAAGAATAACATATCGATCTCTTCAGGGGCTCAAGCCAAAAACTTCGTAGTTATCCTCTCTCTCTCAAATAGCAAATCTTATCTGTCAACAGACCTTGTCTGCTGTATCTTCACATTATGTCCAGATTCAGATCACATTTTACTATCTCTACCACTTTCCAAGTCATCACTATCTCTTTCCTGTAGTATAGCAATATTGTAACCCTGTAATCGGTCCTTCTGTTTTCACTATTACAGTCTATTATCAACACAGCAGTAAGAGTTATCCTTTTAAAAGACCAGATCGTGTCACTCCTCTGTTCACAAACACTCTAATGGCTCCCCATTTTACTCAGAGTAAAAGCCAGTGTCTTCACACAATGTCTTAAGCTGTCTAGTCCTCATAACTTCTCTGATCTCATCTATAACTCTTTCCCATGCTCACACTACTCTAGTCATAAATGGTTAACCTGATGTACCCTAAATACCTACCCTAAGCCCATACCTCTCAGGACTTTTGTACCTAACATTCTCTCTGCTATGAATGCTCTTCCTCCAGGTATTCTCACTGTGATTGTACAACTGCTAATTTTAGTATTCACTATCCCTTCTAGTACATGCAATATTTCACACTAATGTTTAAAAATTGGGTAAAATAAGGGGGTAGATGAGAGAGACGCTAAATAATTTGTTCAAGGTTACATAGCAACTAAATTTGCTCAAGGTTACATAGCAACTAAGTGGCAGAGAGAGAATTAAAACGTATACTGACACCAAAGACCTTGCCTCATAAAAAGACATTATTTCAATGTGCCTGCCCTAAATGCTCAGGTCTGGCTCATGACGAAGATACTATCAACTCTCTATTGTTTGTTTTAGTGGATTTCACTATTTCATTTCTAAAGGATTCTATGAAGTACCTAGTAGTTGCTTTGCACTATATTACACCTTAAAACAGAACTGTAAAATAAAAATTCCGAAGGACACATAATTAACAAAATGTTTTCACATGGTTTTGGAATGTATTACCAGATAATATTATTTTTAAGACATTATCTTCCTCAATCATGTTTTATTCAGGTTACTTTTCAGATTGATTTCAATCCCTGAACATCTATCATTAGGGTGGGGGGGTTAAAGTATTAATAGTTCTAAATGAACTGGATGGCATGAACGGAGAGCTAACTAGTAAATTAAAATCTCTATGGAAAAGCCACTCAGTGGATAACCTGTCTGTGACTGACTTGAAGTGAATTGTGTCTCATTTGTTTTTGAGGTACTCCAACTCCCTTGAGGAACTGGGGAAGTTTATTACTATTAATAAACTGTTTCCTTATATTAACTAAATGATTCATGGTAGCCTAAAGAAATTACTTCACCTGCAAACACAAAGCAATTAATTTCACATTTAAACATGAAGTACATTTAAAGCTAATATATTGAAGCAAAATTCCCAGAAAAGTATCAAGACTCAAAGTGCCAGGAAGATAATTATGCATAACTTCAACTGAGTAAGGGTAAGCCTCTGCCAATATCTATATTTACCAAACAATAATTTACTTTTCAAGCACAAGAAGGAAGAAAATCCTTTCCCTTTCCCATAAACACAGACTTTTACTTTGTTAGGTTTAAGAACAAAGTGGCAGCTTCGAAAGATACTTTCTGGGAACAGAAACTTTATGTCCATTTATTTTAAACATTCATGAAGTTCCTCATTTTTTCATCCAG